ACTAAATGTCTGTTACAAAAAACAACAAAGAAAGAAGCGATCTCTTTATTTGGTAGGTAAATTCTAACTTTATTTTTACCTCAGAAGAATGTAAAATGCCAGTTTTAACAAGGGTTAATCCAGAATAGCTATTTGTCATATACTGCATAGTGTATTAATATTCTAATAATAAATGGAATATTATTCTGCTGTTTAAAATGTGGAAAAACTTTTATAATTTCTTCGATTTTGTTTTAGATGATGTGTTTTTACTACATATCTACAAAGATCGTGTGGTATTTACAAATACATAAACACGTTATCTGATATTCTTTCAATTCCTTCTATTAGCTCACACTCTCCCTATATATATCTTGTTCAAATTTTCAATCTTTCATGAAATACTTTTTATTCATCCACTCAAGTTCAAAAACATTTTTTTTTAATTTGTAGCGGAAGACACTGGATGTTAATACAGTTTTTTCAAATATTAATTCATTCATTAAATTTAATTCATTAATTTTAATTTTTTTAGATTTAAGTTGCATATATCTAACAATAGATGGCGCCACATAAACTTAAAAAATGAATGAAAATTATTTATAAAGGACTTTCTGCAATAGAGTGAAAAAAAAGTAAGAATTGACTTAAATTATTTTTATATTACTTGTTTCTTTTACACACTACCATGTAAAAAGAAACATCTCCTGCTCCGGAATCTGCCAGTAGGCAGATGACCTTGGCTCACCACGGGGCTGTAGTGCTAGGGAGTTAGTTAGTTCGTCTTCATTGGCGCAACAACCCTATGGTGGGGCAGTAGCAACATGTGCAGGAGGGATGAGATTCGAACCTGTTGGCGGCATTGTTGCAGTCCTGCTTTCAGAACCAAGGAGATTCAATTGCAATTGTTACAACGTGGATAAAGAGGAAACAATTGATAGACTGGCCGCTAGGTGGATTGATACAATATCTGTAAAACCATCTCGCATCGATAGTCAGCTGTCTGGTAGTCTCTCATAAGACAAGCAAATGTGGACCAGTTACCCTCCCGGAAAGCACTCTCCTCTTCCACCATCCTGTTCATGATATACAGAAAGACCACCGATGTATGATACTCACCTCTCTTACTGGTAGGGAGCTACAATAATTCTAGGTATGAGAATGAGGCATGAAGAAAAGTAGTTGAGTACTTTCGTGCAGTGAAATAGGCATATTTATCTTCGTGTTATATATGACCAAATGACTAATACTCGGGCGCTCGGTACTACAGGTTTCCAGCGCGAGTACTGTCGATGCCATGGATGTTTGTAGTGGTTCGGAAATCACTTTAAACGATAGGTCATGGTCTAATGTGACAACTACTACTACTACACTACACCACATCACTGTGCTTAAAGCTGAGTTACCTCTTTACAGTTTGGGAATGATGTGGATGAGATGTCTGATTGGTATACGGTCCTATTATACAAGGAGTTACTGTTTAAAGTGGATTCCGAACCACTACAAACATCCACGGCACCGCCCTGACTCGAACCCTAAACATGTGGTGCCAAGCATCAGAGCGCTAGCCAATCGGACATCATGTCTCTGTCTAATATGACTGTTGGCCGTAGGGCTGACAATCCTAACAAAAACAACAACATTTCATGTTTCAGAGTCTTGCTAGAATCTTGCAGAAGGCATTGGGCCCACCATGGGACCTGTCCCGCTATTGAAGAAATTATATATCAATTGATATACTTATCTTACGTTTGTATTGGTTTACTTAATTTTCCGTTTCGTTATTTGGCTTTCAATTAATTTTTTGAAATTAAACTAGTACTTTTTTTTAAATTTATTTTTTTTTATTTTTGCCGAAAGAAATCGTCGAAGCCTGGGTTTGAGCACGATATAAAGCATTAAAATCATAATTTAAATTAAGTAAAAGGTTCAGATTTACATTCTAGTGCATAACTCTTCTTCCTTTTCCATAAAGATAATTATCCAAATGGGTAAGTTTCGACCCATACGACCATTAATACAAAGCCACATTCAACGCACAATAAATAATTCAAGGAAGAATTCGAGATCTTATTAACTGATCCGGAACCACAGGTACATAACATGCGATTTTACCAATTTACCTCATCGCCATTTTGCCCATTGCAAGTTAGCAACCTTCCCCGCTTTGATTTATGCATCCCTACTGTCTGGTTCTGTCCATTAGCAAAATGGCACTACCCCCGGGTGGTGGGTAACGTTGCCAAACCATCCGAGGTAATTAGGCATCGCGAAATCGTCTGTTTCGAATAGGCAGTGGTTTGGGGTCAGGTAAGTAAAATCGCGTAGAGGTTTCGGTCGTCGAATTGGCCATTTAATTGTGTTCAGGAAATATCACTGCTCCTGTGGTATTTTGCTGTGGTAACCATTTGTACCGCCTACTGTTGGTGGTATGAGTGGGTGTTAAATGATTATATAATAGTGACTCGATAATCAAGTGTTGATGGACTGATAGATGAAATATTAAGGATTATAAAAAAGCAACTAAAATCTTTCAAAAAATCATCTTTTATGTTTTATGGTATTCATAAATTTGAACTTCTTGCGAAAAAAATATGTGTTGTATGAATAAAACCAATAATAATTTACCATTAATTGAAGTTGTATAATTTAATTTTATCTTAATAGATTTAAGTAGTTACTTACAAGTTGAACCAAAGGATCAAAGGATTAATTGATTGAAAATTATAAAGTTAATTACCAATTAAAAATTTAAAATAATGTTCACCATCTATCGCCTTAAAAATTGAATTCATATGCAAATTGAAAAAATTTAAATGTGATATTATAAAACAGCCTTTGTTTAAACATCACTTCATTAATTATTTTTCTTGTGATGTTTAAATTCATGGCATTACAATATTAAATCTGACAAAAGAGGACTTGGCCCACTGAGTTTTCGCATTATTAAAGAAGTGATATATCAATTGATATGCTTATCTTTTGCTGTGTTGGTTTGACTACTTTTGTAGTTTAGTTCTTTGCTTTCAATTACTTTTTGTATGTAAACTATGTTTCTTTAATTTATTTTTACCGAAAGGAATCGTCAAAGCATGGATTTGAGCACGATATAAAGCATTAAAATCATAATTTTAATTAAGTAAAAGGTTACATTCTAGTACATAACTCTTATTCCTTGTCCATAAAGATAATTACCACAATGGGTACGTTTCGACCCCTACGACCATTAATACAGCGTCATATTCAAAGCACAATAAATAATTCAAGGATGAATTCGAGATCTTATTAACTGATCCGGAACCACAGGTACATAACATGCGATTTTACCAATTTACCTCATCGCCATTTTGCCCATTGCAAGTTGACAACCTCCCCCTGATTTATGCATCCCTACTGTCTGGTTCTGTCCATTAGCAAAATGGCACTACCCCCCAGGTGGTGGGCAACGTTGCCAAACCATCCGAGGTAATTAGGCATCGCGAAATTGTCTGTTTCGAATATGCAGTGGTTTGGGGTCAGGTAAGTAAAATCGCGTAGAGGTTTCGGTCGTCGAATTGGCCATTTAATTGTGTTCAGGAAATATCGCTGTTCCTGTGGTATTTTGCTGTGGTAACCATTTGTACCTTCTACTGTTGGTGGTATGAGTGGGTGTTAAATGATTATATAATGGTGACTCGATAATAAAGGGTTGATGAACTAGTACATGAAATATTAAGGATTATAAAAAAACAACCAAAATCTTAAAAAAAAAATAATATAAAAAAAAAAAATTATATTAAAAGTTAATTCCCCCGTTTTTTCACTATATTACAGAAAGCCCTTTAAAAATAATTTTCATTCATTTTTTAAGTTTATCTGGCACCATCTATTGGTAAATATATGCAACTTAAATCTAAAAAAAAACTAAAATTAATTAATTAAATGTAATGAATGAATTAATATTTGAAAAAAACTGTATTAACATCAAGTGTTATCCACTTCAAGTTCAAAAAAAATGTATTTGAACTTGAGTGGAGGAATAAAAAGTATTTTATGAACGATTGAACATTTGAACAAGATATATATATATAGGAAGAGTGTGAACTAATAGAAGGAATTGAATAATCGTTTATATTATATGGTATTCATACATTTGAACTTCTTGTGAAAAAAATATGTGTTGTATCAATAAAGCCTACAATAATTTTCCATTAATAGAAGTTGTATAATTTAATTTTATATTAATAGATTTAAGTAGTTGCTTGCAAATTGAACCAGTGGGGCAAGTGAATCAACGGATTAATTTATTTAAAATTATTAAGTTAATTACTAATTAAAAATTTTAAAATAAGGGTCACCATAAATAACCTTAAAAATTCAATTCATAACTAAATTCAACAATTTAAATGTGATGTCATAAAACACACAGATCATTTTGCTTAAGCATCACATCATTAGTAATTTTCTTGTCATATTTAAATTCATGACATTACTATATTAAATCTTATATGCCTTGGACGTGCAATTATATTATATCTATAAAACCAGAAATATGACTGAGTCATAGACTATTTGCTAACATTACGTTAAAGCTAATGTTATCGTAAAGTCATGGTACTTTAACGCAACGCTAACGTTACCGCTAATATTAGTATAACTTCTTAACACTACCGTGTAAGAAGATCCAGTTTCGAATGCTGTGGTTTATTTTATAAGTCATTTTATCATTTCGTGTGTTTATTTATGTTGTGGTTGGTTGTTGTTTCTTATCCCACTTGGCTGGCCAAGCCCACGAGCCCATACGTATTCATGATTGAAGGGGAAGGAAGCAGCTTCTGTTGTGATGGAGCACCCGTAGGTAGAAGTCTGACTTTGGCTCCGTTTGGCTGTTACAGTCATAGGAGACCGGGACCTACGGCTTAAAGTGGATTCCGAACCACTACAAACATCCATCGCACCGCCGGGATTCGAACCCGAAACCTGTGGCACCGAGCGCCAGTGCGCTAGACACTCGGCCATTCAGGTCCCAAATTTGTGAATGCCAACGGCACGCGGTGTTCCCAGGTGGTCACTACCCAAGTACTGACCGTGCCCAATGATGCTTGATTTCGGTGATCTAACGAGAACCGGTATATTCAGCATGGTATGGCCGTTGGCTGTGTTTATTTATAGTTACTATTTTATAAACAAGAAGACTTGATACCTGTCTTGTGGCTCAATGGCAAAAGTTTCAAGACTGTTTCAAAAACGAAGAAACTCGATGGCGTTTGTAATGTTCAGTCTCTTGTCTCATTATTCGCACCATCTGGGGGGAGTTTTCTGGGTTTTCTGCCATACGATACACAAATACAAGCTAGTTCCCCTAAAAGACCTCCAGGACGACAGACATATCACAACAGAAGTTGCCCCTTTAATCGCTCCATTCGTGAGTATCCTTTGGGTGTCCTTCCCGCACTGCCGGACAATGAGGATTAGAAGAGATGATTTAGAAAAGACGTATAAGGGTTTTAAATTAATATTCAGGCTGGCTATAGAGTTTTCCACACACACACACATACACACAAAATACTACACGCAGCAATTATATTTTAAAAATCTTTTAGATATACAATGTCCTCGATTCCTCCTTTGTCAGGGAGCTGGTTTATATAAAAAGTGCATGAAGACCACCGATATATAGAAAGAGAACAAAATTCCTGAAATATTAGAAAAATCATATCATTTCATACGAGCTGAAATGAGATAAAATCTTATTAGGTCATACTAAACAAGATACAAGGGAAATTATAATAGAAATTTATTTTCATTTGAAAAATATTTTTGAAGTATGACTATTCAGAAATTAAACATGCTTTGTCATATTTCTGATCTTCCTATTTTTTCCCCATCGTCAATAAATGGATCAATAACTTATCAAAGCACTGTATTTTACGTATAATTAGGCTTTATTTTGTTACTGACTCTGAAATGTGTTCAATATTTCAATTATCATAATTACGGACAGATTAAATAATTATAATACATATCACTAATTACTTGTATTAATGTTAGTCTATTAAAGTGAAGAGGTTTATAATACGCGATTAAACATTAAGGTAAAATTACAAAAAATATTTAATTACGACACAAAAGACCACACCCTCAACTGTTTACTGTCTATAGGTACCGGAGTTGTGTGTTCTGCTAGGGAATCAAGATATTTTGCCATAAAGTTGTCAGCTGGATGCTGCTGTCATCTACACTCATGTCCATAAATTAAGGATAATTCAGAATCACACAGAAATTGAACTCTAAAATAAAAATTCCACCTGTAGAATTATCACACACATCTTGAAGAAGAATATGCAAATTACAGGAAACCACCAGATGGCGCGGAGAGTACGTCACAATGACGAGAGTGTAAGAGAGGGGTATATAAGGAATGGTGGCAAGGAAGTAAAATTGTTCACAAGGGCTTTAAAAGCCTTACGTTACGGTGGTGCAGGAGGACTCGTTTGGGGAGGAATTATTCTTGGTTACAGAACTAACCTGCATGTTCAGAGTGTAACGATGACAGTCCACACCTATCGGGATGTCATTCTGGAACAACATGTACGTTTGTTTCGGGGCGGCATGGGTGCTAAATTTCTGTTTATGGATGACAACGCCCGTCCTCACCGTGCAAACATTGTAGACGAATGCCTTCAATTGGAGGATATCACACGTATGGATTGGCCAGCATACTAACCGGACTTGAATCCAATAGAGCATGTGTGGGATATGCTTGGCCGACAAATTGCAGCCCGTCAACCCCCTCCCACCTGTCAACCGGAACTTCGGAGGGCATTGCTTGATGAGTGGTGCAATATTCCCCAAGATCAGATTGATAATTTGATACTCAGCATGCCTAGGCGATGTAAGGCCTGTATTGCATCGTCCGGGAGACATACTCCATATTAACCATCATACTAACCATGTTATACTGTTTTTTGTAAATAGGTTCTTTTTTGAAATTTGCTCCAGGAAGTAAAAATCGCAATTTTTATTAATTATGTCAAACCTATAGCATCTTTTTAGCTCTTTACCTTTTGTTTAATAAATAGACTTTACAAACAAGTCAAATTTGTTTTGCTTCTGTCTCTTTCTTTGCCTGAACTTCATTATCCTTAATTTATGGACATGAGTGTAGTATGAAAGAAGGTGTCGAATGCAAGGTGTCTTACACCACCGCTTTGACATTAATCATATTTTCTATCAATCGACTTGTTATTAAAAATGGGGTTAATATTTTTTTTTAACATTGAACGTTTTAAAATTTCAAAAGTTTTTCTTTCATTTTAGGACTTCAGGATCAAAACATTGCTGTCTTCAATTTTTTTTTTAAAGACATTAGTGCTTTTATAGCAACATCCTAAAAATCTTAAGATCTTTTTTGAAATATTTTCGCAAATATCCTGTCAGATTGCGAAGTCGAAGAAAGAGCAAATTTCTTCAAAAATGGTTTGATTTTTGGAAGGAGGTGTCGAATGCAAGTTGTCTTACACCACCGCTTTCACATTTTTTTTCTTTCTAATGAAGCTGACAAACACTTAGACAGCTTGGTCGCCTTAAGGCAAGCGCTGCACAGACGTCACTCCCTTTGCATTACCCAGGGGGCGCGTGAAACTTGAAGATAAGCCACGGACGCGGAGTAACAATGCCCCCGCAACGCTCTACGATCCTATTAGACCGAGACCTACGTTTTAAAGCGAATTCCGAACCGCTACAAACACCCATGGCACCGCCTAGAACCCGAAACCTGTAGTACAGAGTGCCAGAGCGCTAGTCACTCGGCCATTCAGGCCCTACCGCTTTCACATTAATCATATATTCTATTAATCGATTTTTATTAAAAATGGGATGGATATTTTTTTACAGTACATCAAAACATTTCCAAAGAATCTTGTCATATATAAGGACTAAAATGTTTCACTCAAATGTAATATATATATAATTTTTGACAATTTAAGTCAAACATGTATGTAAATGCTTAAAACAATTCATTGTTCTGAATATTTTGGCACGTTATTTTTATTCAAATAGAATTCTTTTTCCAGTTTAAACAAAATAAATTTGTATTTGTTGAATTTATAACATAAATTTTATTTTTTCAGTTTTTTTTTTTCATAAACTTGCTAGCTAAATAAGATTTTAAAAAATACCAACCTGGAATTTCTCGAAAGTGTGCATCTACAAATATGCAAACTAGGTGAAAACAACCCATTACTGAACAGTGTTGCTGCTAATTTGAAGACATTTTTAAGCTGAGATGTTTAAATACAGATTTCGAAATAGAAATTTTACAGAACCATTCTAACTGGAATTCCAATTCCTCAAAGAAATTATGAAATAAATCTACCTCATTAAAATACTTAGCTTGGGAATGACAAAACTTGCTCGGTGATTATTTTATTGCTTCAGGGCTTATGGAAAAAATAAGCAAAAATACTAAAGAGTGCTTAGATGGTAAAATTCTTAGAATTAAATCGATATGCATGACTTTCGAAGCGATTTGTCATCAAAAATGATTAATATGTTTCTTTAAACGATGTCTCCAACTATGAAGGTATTGATTACTTAATGAAAGAGTTTGCTATAAAGCTTTTTTGCTCAGCAAACAAAGCTGAAAGCTGCTTTTTAGATTTCATTCCCCTGAAGGAAGGATATATTGCTGGAATCATTATCGAGCAAAATTGTGCATTTTAATACCTTTCAATTTTTTCAATAGCTAGAAATAAATAGAATGAATCGTCATTTTTAAATATATTCATTATTCATTATTATTAATTTTAATTGCTTTGTAAATTTTAAAGAATTTTAATCCACAATCTTATCATAGAATTATATGTGGTCTAAAAGGCTTTCTTTTTTTTTTTTAAGAAATGAAAACCTGTTACAAGAAAAATAATTTGTTCTTATTTGTATTTAGTTTAGTATTCGATCGCTATATGTCTATCGATATATTCGATATGTGTCTATTATCAATTACTTTAATTTTTCAAGAATTATAATTATATGATAAGATTGTGGATTAAATGTAGTATATGAGAGATTTTGTTTTTTTCTAAAAAACAGAAAACATGATAAAAGAAAAATATTTTGTTCTTATCTGTATTTAGTTTAGTATTCGATCGATATGTGTCCATCGATATATTCGATATACGTCTATTGTTATAAATTTTAATTACTTTGAAATTTTTCAAGAATTATAATTATATGATAAGATTATGAATTAAATGTGGTCTATAAAAGATTTTTCTTTTTTTTTTCTAAGAACTGAATACCTGTTAAAAGAAAAATAATGTGTTATTATTTTTATTTTTTAATCGATATGTGTCTATCGATATATTTGATATATATATATATATATATATATTGTTATTGAATTAAATTACTTTGAAAACCTTCAAGAATTAAAATTATATGATAAGGTTGTGGATTAAATGTGATTTATGAAAGACTTTCTACTTTTTTTAGAACTGAAAATCTGTTAAAAGATAAACAATTTGTTCTTATCTGTATTTAGTTTAGTATTCGATCGATATGTGTCTATCGATATCTTCGATATATGTCTGTTGTTATTGAATTAAAATACTTTGAAAATTTTCAGGAATTATAATTATATGATAAGATTGAGGAATAAATGTGGTCTGTGAAAGATTTTTTTTTCTAAGAACTGAAAACTTGATAAAAGAAAAATAATTTGTTCTTATTCGCATTTAAATTAGTATTCAATTCATAAACAATTATCTGCTGAAAAGATATTATATTTACGGTTTTTTTATGTTTAAAATAACTTAAAAAAAATACAAATTGTTTTTCTGTGTCCTCTAAAATGATTCAATATTAACGGAAAATAACATTGAACATTTTAAAATTTCAAAACCTTTTTTTTTTTATTTTAGTGAGTTTTTCATTCTAATTAAGATCAAAACATTACTCTCTTCAAAAAAAAATTTTTTTTGAAGGCAGTAGTGCCTTGATAGCAACATCCTAAAATCTTTAGATCTTTTTTGAGATATTTTCTCAAATATTCTGTCAGATAGCGAAGAAAACGCAGTAGTAGAAATAAAAGAAGAAACGGCAAATTTCTTCAAAAATGGTTTATTTTTGGAAAGATTATACAAATAAATTT